ATATATGACTATAGTATGATATTATGTTTGAACGTATATATATATGACTATAGTATGATATTGTGTTTGAACGTATATATATTACTATAGTATGTTATTGTGTTTGTACGTATATATATTACTAGAGTATGATATTGTGTTTTTACGTTTATATATTAATATAGTATCTTATTGTGTTTGTACGTATATATATTACTGTAATATGCTATTGTGTTTGTACGTATATATATGAATATAGTATGATATTGTGGTTGTACGTATATATATGACTATAGTATGATATTGTGTGTGTACGTATACATATTACTATAGTATGATATTGTGTCTGTACGTATATATAATACTATAGTATGATATTGTGTTTGTACGTATATATATCAATATAATATGCTATTGTATTTGTACGTATATATATTACTATAGCATGATATTGTGTTTGTACGTATATATATTAATTGATATTGTGTTTATACGTATATATATTACTATAGTTTGTTATTGTGTTTGTACGTATATATATTATTATATTATGATATTGTGCTTTTACGTTTATATATTAATATAGTATGATAGCATGTGTTTACGTATATATATATGACTATAGTATGATATTGTGTCTGTACGTATATATATTACTAAAGTATGCTATTGTGTCTGTACCTATATATATATTAATATAGTATTATTTTGTGTTTGTAAGTATATATATTACTATAGTACGATATTGTGTTTGTAAGTATATATATTACTATAGTATGATATTGTGTTTGTACGTATATGTTTTACTATAGTATGCTATTGTGTATTGTGTTTGTAAGTATATATATATTACTATAGTATGCGTATGCTATTGTGTCTGTACCTATATATATATTAATATAGTATTATATTGTGTTTGTAAGTATATATATTACTATAGTACGATATCATGTGTGTACGTATATATATTACTATAGTATGATATTTTGTTTGTACGTATTTATATTACTATATTATGATATTGTGTTTGTATATATATATATATCAATATAGTATTATATTGTGTTTGTAAGTATATATATCAATATAGTATAATATTGTATTTGTACGTATATATATTACTATAGTATGATATTGTGTTTGTACGTATATATATCATTATAGTATGCTTTTGTATTTGTACGTATATATATTACTGTAGTTTGATATAGTGTCTTTACGTATATATGTTACTATAGTATGCTATTGTGTCTGTACGTATAAATATTACTATAGTATGATATTGTGTTTGTAAGTATATATATTATTATAGTATGATATTGTGTTTGTACGTATATATATTTCTATAGTATGATATTGTGTTTGTACGTATATATATGACTATATTATGATATTGTGTCTGTACGTATATATATTACTATAGTATGATATCATGTTTGAACGTATATATATATAACTATAGTATGATATTGTGTTTGTACGTATATATATTACTATAGTATGATATTGTGTTTGTACGTATATATATTACTATAGTATGATATCATGTTTGAACGAATATATATATTACTATATTATGATATTGTGTCTGTACGTATATATATAACTATAGTATGATATTATGTTTGAACGTATATATATATTACTATAGTATGATATTGTGTTTGTACGTATATATATTACTATAGTATGATATTATGTTTGTACGTATATATATTACTATAGTATGATATTGTGTTTGTACGTTAATATATTACTATATTATGATATTGTGTTTGTACGTAAATTTATCAATATAGTATGCTATTGTATTTGTACTTATATATATATATTACTATAGTATGATATTATGTTTGTACGTATATATATGACTATAGTATGATATTGTGTCTGTACGTATATATATTACTTTAGTATGATATTGTATCTGTGCGTAAATATATTACTATAGTATGATATTGTGTTTGTACGTATATATATTACTATAGTATGATATTGTGTTTGTAAGTATATATATTTCTATAGTATGACATTGTGTTTGTACGTATATACATTACTATAGTATGATATTGTGTTTGTATGTATATATATTACTATAGTATGATATTGTGTCTGTACGTATATATATTACTATAGTATGATATTGTGTCTGCACGTATATATATTACTATAGTGTGATATTATGTTTGTACGTATATATTACAATAGTATGATATTGTGTTTTTACGGTTATATATTACTATAGTATGATATTGTGTCTGTACGTATATATATTACTGTCGTATGATATCATGTGTGTACATATATAAACTACAATAGTATGATATTGTGTTTGTAAGTATATATATTACTATAGTATGATATTGTATTTTTACGTATATATATTACTGTAGTATGCTATTGTGTTTGTACGTATATATATGACTATAGTATGATATTGTGTGGGTACGTATACATATTAATATAGTATGATATTGTGTTTGTAAGTATATATATGACTATAGCATGATATTGTATTTGTACGTATATATATTACTATAGTATGCTATTATGTTTGTTCGTATATATATGACTATAGTATGATATTGTGTGTGTACGTATATGTTTTACTATAGTATGATATTGTGTCTGTACGTATATATATTAATATAGTATGATATTGTATTTGTACGTATATATATTACTGTAGTATGATATTGTGTTTGTGAATTTATAAATTACTATAGTATGATATTATGTTTGTACGTATATATATGACTATAGTATGATTTTGTGTTTGTACGTATATGTTTTACTATAGTATGCTATTGTGTCTGTACGTATACAAATGACTATAGTATGATATTGTGTTTGTACGTATATGTTTTACTATAGTATGCTATTGTGTATGTACGTATACAAATGACTATTATATGATATTGTGTTTGTACGTATATATGTATTGACAAGGGGTATGTCTCTCAAATCAGAAACTATGTGGTAGCATTCCAATGGTGGTAGTTTTAGGGGGCTGAATTTAGTAGCAGGTTGGTTAACTAAACCGCTGCCCGCAGCAACTTCGTTATTTAAGATTCTGACTAGTTAATTATAACTTCTCCTTAAAAACTTAGCTCTAACTATCATTCTAACACGATTAGTTTGCAACGCGTGTTTTGATTGGATACGGATCATGTTCTAATATGCGATAGAATCATGATCGCACTTAAGCCACGCCCCGTTTCTCTCCCGCTGATAAGGCTAGCAGGCAACAGAACAGAAACGACCAATGAAATGTATTTGTTGAATGAATTAAAAAGTAAAATGTACATATTTCTTGATCTTACTTCTATTTATTAATGAAACGTCCGTTCCATCCGTGTGAAGGCATCTACTTAGATCCGAAATCAAATGAAACATTTCACATGTGTCGTATGCAAAACTCTTCACAAATCTATACAAATAATCACCGAATTTATCGATAAGCCGGCTTATCGATAAAATCGGTGATTATTTGTATAGATCTGTGAAGAGTTTTGCATACTGGCATGGAAATGTAAGAACTTTGTCAATATCAATCCAAATGTGTCGTATAAACTTTGGTAACAGGACGTTCACGAACAATCCAAATAGTTCAGGTCACAAAGCATTTCACTACGAACGTTTTTCCGCATATGCATGTATCAAGTGGCATATATAATTCAATAGCGACTAATCATCCGTGGCGTCGGCGTAGAATGTTGGCGATATGAAAAGTCATAAAACCGGGTGTATAATGAACCATTTCTCATTTTTATCATATTTCTGCAAAGTTCAACATACCAGGTTTTGTCCAGCCAAGAACAGAGCAAGCAGTCTCTCTGCAACTATTCACATTTTCATATGTTGATGCTGTCGTTCATCAGTACGTGCATATGGCTAAGGGCCGCAACTCTTGCCTCCTCTGAACTACGCTGATTTCGGCAGACTGGTCCGTATGTGGGAAGGCCCTGAATGCGGATGTACCCTATACATATCCTAGTTAACCTGTTTTTTTCTGTGATGTGCTGCCAATGGTTTGCGTTTTTTTGTGCTGTATGCTAACTGTATGCTGATGTGCTCAGGCATGTGCTATATGAACTATAGTGTGCTTTACCATGTGCTTACAATGTGCAATTGTGCCTACTATGTGCTATTAAGCTTTCCATGTGATGGTTTTTGTATGTGCTGTATGTAAATGTGCTAAATGTTCTATTGTGCTTATATTACCATGTGCTGATGTGCCTATTATGTGAAAAATGCTTTCCAAATGATAAACTCTTTTTCTGTGATTACACTAAAGTACATGTTTGTTTTTTAATATTTGATGTGTAATGTTTTTGTCTCTGTTATTATACTTATGTTTTTGTCGAAATACATGCTTTTTGTAGCTTATGTTGTATGTTGTGCAAAATCGACGTAAACTAAATATTCGTGTATCTTGTATACCTCTAAAAAATTGAGTTCAGTTTTATATATGGCATAATGCGATTACATTTTTCTATTCAAATAAATCTATAAAGTGGGAAATGGACAGTAAGTATGACATTTATAATTAGCAGACTTGCCCTAAAGGACATACTTGGAATAAGGTACGGTAACTTGACCGTGTTGTAAGGCTTGATTACAAATGGACAATATATAATAACACATTATATAATCACCTGAGGCACACTGAGAGGAGGATAATCATTATCCTGTACATTAGGAGACGAACCTATACCAAACGTTCATTACCTTGAAATAAGTTAATATTATACAATATAATAAGTTTGAAATCTTGACCGAACTAGCAATGTTCGGTACATTTATGTGAACCTTCAAAACATTAAACGTAACCTATGAGTCATGCAAATTAATATACTGAAAATGTTTGTATTCATCTGGTTTCTTTCGTGTGTAGTGTCACAGCAAAAAACATATATGCAGTCTACAGAATTTTAAGAACGTCAAACACTGTTTATATTTATGATATATATATATATATACCTAAAACTCAACTAATGTATTGCGTCAAATGTACTTACGAAAGGTGAAGATCAGCACGCATGCTAGACTTTGTCTGTGACCTGCCATAATTGTCAACTTCTACTTCCTATCTGCCGATACCCTTTATAAAGCATGTTGCTTTTGGTTAATGGAAATAAAAACAATCTGAATATATATTCCGTACTGTTTCATTATAAACCACATATATCCTTGTATATGTAATGTATTTATGGCACAAAGACATTCGCGTCTATTTCTGAATAAAGATATATACAACATATAAAGGTTCAATACACACATAGAGGGCTAGAACAAAGACAGTGACGCCACATACGCTTTAATTGTCTGCTATCTGGGATGTATACCGGTATTTAGATGGCACTCCGCTGATAGTCGACAATTCAATGTAGACTATATTTCAAGTGCGAACTAAATGCGACGATCAGTCGTAGTATTTTAGTTTTAGTTTAAACATATCGCATTGCCCTTTAAAAATGTGATTGAGCACAAGTTGTATAACTTGTACTAAGCCACTCACTTACAATTTTACAAATAAAGTTTTATACTAGAATTCAAAACGATACATGTGTTATGAATACATTTACACACATATGCATACGTATGTGATAAATGAAACTCTCACGAGCATGTTTTTGAGTTTAAAAGTAATGGACCTGAACCTATACTTGTTCTAAATATTGTAAGCTTAACGAGGCTAACATTAAAACACTATTATAATTACTGAATTTCATCAAATGCAATCGGCATTTGTCATAATGACTTTAATGGATTTACTTAAAAGAAAATGTAAAACAAATCGCACATTTTAAGAGTTAGTGCTTCCAATTTTGAACGTTTATAATGGTAAGGGAGGTAACTCGTATCACGTTGTGACAAATGGACGACAGCTATAGCTACATGGGGTCAGGAATTTTCTAATAAATAAAAATTGTCTTTAACATTAATTTGGTGTTGTTTTGTTCTTCTTCAGATTCAATTATATTAGTATCAAGTTATTTTCATGGATGGAAACGTCCCCGCCGAGGTGTTTTCAGGGGCGGATCCAGGGTTTCCTAAAAGGGGGGGCCGAGAAATTTTTCTCAATAGTCAACGGTGTGCTGCGAAAGGCAGCAGCCCGAGCGCGTAGCGCGAGGAGGGGGAGGGTACAGACCCCCTCCCCGTAAGGGGGGTTTGGGGGATCTCCCCCCAAAAAAATGTGTTTTCTAGAACGTCTCAGAAGCGATTTCCCGTGTTCTGAGGATTGTTTTCATGTTTAATTAACAAGAAGAAAAAAACATATTTTAAGTATGGCCCAAAGACTTTTTTGTGTACTGGAAAGAAAATTAAAGTTTCGGTTTAAATTCTCTATCAACAGCGTGTTTTAGAAGTCAGATGGTATTATTATAGGGGCAACCTGGTGATGACAAATGTATGAATCCACAGGGGGCTTGTTCATTATTACCTTATTTGGCGTCCCGCCCGCAAGGGGGATACGAGAGGTCCACCGTCAAAATATAAATCTAGTCTTCAGACATTGTACGTTTGTCTTACAAAAGAACAAATAACACCATAACATCGTTGCTGTTTCATTAAAGAGTTACTCATGGCATCACTAAGTTGCTAAACAAACGGTAAGTTCAAATCAGTGCGACACCCAAGGCCACTAGCAATATACAGGGGCGTTTCTAGGATATTTGAAAGAGGGCGTAGAATAAAATCTGTCGCCGAGCGGAGCGAGAAGAAAACAGTTTTGGCCCTTTTTTTGGCTAAAAAACATAAAATAATTGTGAAATGCACTAATATAACGGTTCCTGACTTAGAGCATGTATATTTTATAGTTGAAGTGTCATAGTTTGACATTTTTTTTTTATCAGAGTATGTCTTTTATTAATGAATATGATAAATAGCCATATTCAATACAATATTAGCAGATTACGATAAAAAAAAA